AAAGGCTTTGGATGAGGACACTAATCGTCCTCCTGTCTAGGTCTGGGCGCCCTGGCAGTATCTCAGTCCACATACAACCATAACATCTTCTTCAGACATAAACCTCATGCTGCATCGATCGTCGAGCAGATTATCAAGGGTCGCCTTATCTGCTGCATAGAGCAGGGCAGATAAGCGAAAACATGCTAATACTGGTGCCTCCCTTCTTTCTTTTCCATCTGTTTCTCTTACTCCCATCCTGACCCACATTACTAACCTTCCTTCTATAATTCCCAGCTTAATTGACAGCAACCGAAGTGCCACTGGAGTTAAACCATCTGCAGCCACCTTCTCGCGACACGCACCGGACGCCTATCGGCAACAGACCCTTATAAGGCCACACTGTCCCGTCTCCATACCGAAGCACAACGTTCGCACTCTAAGACAAATAGGTCAACAGGCTGCACTCACACGCACCTTGGACACACTGGCTGTTGATGTGTGTTGTGTGTCCGAAACTAGGATCAATGACCCTAACGGGGTTGTTGAAGTGAGTACACCCGGCTCATCCTATCGTTATTGGTTGCACGCATCCGGAGACGCCGATGCACCACTCACGGCTCAGGCTGGTGTAGGTATCATTCTAAGCTGCAAGGCTAAGCCAACGTCGGTCGATTGGATTCCGGTGAACAGCCGTTTCTGTGCAGCCGGTTTGACGACATCAGCTAAGATTGATTCGCGAAGTGGTACAAAACGCTGTTTGCTTGTGATTTCCACTTATGCTTACACCGACTGTAGTTCAGATGTTGTCAAGGACATATGCTATCACGAACTGAACGCGCTACTACGCAGTGCTACTAGTTCAGATAGTATAGTACTTGCAGGAAATATGAACGCACAAGTAGGGCGTCTGAGCTCTTCAGAAGCTCAGCTAGGTGGTAAATGTGGGCATAACTCCGAACGGACTGACAACGGCGAGCGTCTGTTGCAACTGTGTGCGGAGCACCAGTTGTTTCTTAGTAGCACGGCTTTTAGACACAGTGGGCGCCCAAGTGCCACTTGGTGTCCTACTGTAGCTAGCCAGCGATGGACCCAAATTGACCACATAGTCATAAATTACAGGTGGCGTGGTTCCATCCTGGATTGGCGCTCGTACTGGAATATCTACGACGAGTCTGACTATGTCTTAATACGCTGTGGTTTCTCCATGAACTTTACCGTTAAGCGCACAAAGCGTCCCCTCCGGTTGGCAACTGAGAAATTGTCTCATCCCTCGTTTAGGCAAGCCTATCAAGACGCACTATGTACCCCACTTCCGCTGTGTTGTTCTATTAACACTGAGCTTCAGTAGAGTAGAATCTCGGCCGCCATTCAAAACGCACCAGTCACTGGATATCCGAGAAGTCGGTGAACCTGTTGGAATCTAGAAGAAACCTCCCGACTGGTTCTGAGCACAATGTGATCAGACGTGCTATTAGGCGTGAACTAAAGCGGGGCCTACGTGCTGGCAAGGAAGCCTGGTGGACCAGTCAGGCAAAAGAAATGGAGGGAGCAGGAGCAGGAAGTAATTATTGCAAGCTCTTCTAGCTGATCCGCACCACTGGTCCCAGAAAACCAGGCGTCAGTGAGACAAGCAGAGACAGCGGAACACTTTCAAGAGTAGTTCAGCTGACCCCTTGTTCCCGGACCTCTTCCTACTCAGGTGATGCAGGACGAGCAATGGACGGTTAGTTTAAAACCTCCGTCAGAGCCCGAGGTCCGAAACGCGATCACAGCCCTTACTCGTTTTCGTGCCACCGGCCCGGATTCCCTCTTATCTGTACTATTTAAGGATGGAGGTGCGGACCTCTGCAAACCACTGACCTCCCTATTCGAACGAATCTGGAAGGAAGAGAATGTCCAGGCTAATTAGAGCAAATCGATTATAGTGGAAATATACAAGGACAGGCGCACAGACTGTGCGAACCACAGACGTATTAGCCTAACGCCAGTTGTGACAAAAGTACTGGCCTCGATTCTCGTTCGTCGCTTCACTGTGAAACGGGAATCTCGGATTAGGGAAGAACAGGCCGTTTACCGCTCATGACGTGGCTGTATAGACCATATGTTCTCTTTGCGACAGGTGCTAGAGCAGCCCCAGGCATCCCGCAGACCGACAATAGCTGTGTTCCTCGATTGCAAGAGTGCGTTCGATTAAGTCGATCGATCGATTCTGTTCGAAATACTTGCGCGGAAAGGTGCTCCCACGAAATATGTCAACATTCCACGTGCTCTATACTCGAACACTACAGGCCGCGTCAAGATCTACGGTGGCCTGTCGGATAGATTTCCGATCACAAGTGGCGTTCGTCAGGGTTGTCCGATTTCCCCATTTTTGTTCAATTTCGTCGTGGATTCTATCATGGAGTGTTTCCTTGCAGAATCTCATGATGTAGGCGTTGAAGTGCAGCCTGTTGAAAGAGCAGTTGATCTAGATTATGCGGACGATATCGTCTTGCTTTTCGACAATGTAGCGGCAGCACAATCCACTCTGAATAGCCTGTCTAGAGTGGTTCCATTATTTAGTATGCACTTCGCACCTTCAAAGTGCAAAGTGTAACTGCAGGACCACCAGCCACTTTATGACCCCTTGTCGCTTGCTAACGAGGAACTCGAGGTGGCCGATCAATTCACTTATCTTGGCAGCTGCATCAGTAATGATGGGCGCATGGAAACTGACGTCAGCTCATGCATTGCAAAAGCCAGAGATACCTTCTTGAACCTGCGGCATCTCTGGCGACAGAAGGGAATTCCCCCCCCCCCCGTGTAAAAGGTGGTGTATACAACGCCATAGTGAGGGCCGTTCTGCTTGATGGGAGTAAGACTTCACCCCCTTCGGTCTGAAGATTTGAGGCGCCTTCAAGTCTTTGAGCATCGTTGTCTGCGAAGCATGGCTGGTGTCGGATGGCACCAGCGTGTCCGCAACGATGATGTGCGTAGGCGAGTGCCAGGTAGTGATAATCATGTTAACTCCTTAGAACAACGGATAGCACTGAATAAGTTGCGTCGGCATGGGCAGGTGCTAGGTATGCCTGGTCATCGCTTACCAAGGAGGGCCTTGTTTAGTCTGCCAGGTGTATGGTGGCGCAACACTCGAGGTGGGCAGATGTTGACTTCGCAGTGGGAAACTGCGTGCGGTTGGTCCTTCTGGCCTTCGGGGCTGGAGACCAGGTGACTCGTCTTGTGCTAGGTTCAGGACTTTACAAGACATGGCTCGTAGCCAACACCAGTGGGGCGTTTGCTGCCGTCGCCTAGTCGGATTGCCTGTTTGAAATGTGTTTGGTGCTGAGTTATCTGTGGGTAATGGCTGATTATGACGCAGGGAATTGAAAGCCGCAAGGAAGCTGTCTCGCCGACGCCGACTTATCTTTGCACGATTGCCATCTGTTTGTGACGGTATGTTGTCAACACATGGTGTAGGCGCCTTGGCCCTGGATGTTTGCTTAGGGTATATGGAGTGGTAGTGAACGGCACAAGAATAGCATCTTACTACTATCGCTTGAGAGGTTTGCGATGATCCTCTGCACCAAGCCAGGTTATGGCAGGAACAAATGGTAGTATAGGAGACGGAAGCGGTTATGTCGACGGCTCTAACAGTGGCTGGTCACTGTGTCGAGGACGATTTAGCTACAATCTATGGGCCAGTGAACCAATAAAAATGATAAAAACATTATCCATGGGTGTTGACATCAATCATCGGAAGCACCAGTTGCTTCTGGAATCGCGGACCACGTTATGAGAAACAGCCACCAACACCACAGCCGAGTGTAGACAGTGGAATTCCAAGACAAAAAGCGTACTTCATAGATTACCAGATGACTTTTTAGAAGGTAACTGCTATATGGTGGATTTTGATCACCAACGGTCATTAGACAGTGCGAGGCTATTTGAGAAAATAGGCTGAAGCTGATATTGAGATTTCCTCTAGCCATTTACAGTCCCACTGATAACAGTTGAAGAGAACCCACGTTTTCCTCATCAGTACAACACGCGTCACTAGTAGGTCCTGCAATGTTATCATGAACCGCTCAGGGAAAGGTGATTCAAATGCTGCCATCTTGATTCCCATTCAGCATACTGGAATGAAGAGGCAGCAAGCCGCTGAGTGGGCGAAGAACAGCTAGCCCATAGGTATAGATACTAAAGGAAAAGGAAAACATGCCGTGAACCTCCTGTCAAACGACTACTTCTTATGCACATTTGTAAGCGAGCCATTGTTTGGTGTAAGGCATACGTCATTCAGTAAGACATCAGTTTGCGGTGGAAAAGCGTTTTGTATGGAACAGCGGCTATCTGCAACATCTCGATGTGGCGAAGAGAAAATACCTGCTACGCTGATGCTGTGCTAAGCACTTTCCTGCGTCGTTCAAACGTCAACAACCCCTTGAACGATCGATCGCCTCTATCTCACATGAGTTCGTCAGATGCGCGAAATGAAGTAACCATACAAGAGAGTAATGTGACTAGCATAGAATGCGGTTTATCAGATTTAAACTCAGTCAAATGGACATCACAATTCCAGAAAAGCACCGGGCGGCCGTCTCAACCTTTTGTGAATCATCCAACCCCTTTGGTCGAAGTACGCTGATCAAACTGCTTACAGTTTTATGAGTTAATCGGGGGCTCAAGTTTGTTAAGTGCGTTGCTTCTGGAAGGGGGTGCTACCCTGTCCTTTGCACGACAGTGACGTGCAAGTTCGCGTAAAGTGAGCGGCGCTATATCACACCTAGTAACTTAGTTATGCCAGTCGTTGCCTTCCCCCATAGCCCAGTGGTTCTAACCACGGACTGGTAACAGTGGAGCTACGCGTCCTAACCCCAAAGAGGCCAGATGGAATGCACGCTAGTGAAGATTCCCAAGAGGATGAAACAGCCGCTCAGTGCTTTACTGAAAGTGTGAAGGTTGCCTCACTAAATCGAGATTTGATGAATTTCCACCTATAAAACGGATATAAATACAGTTGGACAATGAGTAGCGCTCACCTCGCGGGTCATTTTGTGTTACGTATACGAAATTGCACGTGTTAGGACCGGTTTTCACAATAAGGTACCCTGTCAGATATGTCAAGGCACGAATATATTCTTTCCTGGGGGGCATTTTCTAAAAAGACAGTTTAACCAAAACGAGTTGAATCTACCTTGTGAAAGACGGATCGGTTAAAGATTATGTACTCGTTCCCGTTTATCCTCCAGACTCGATTCAAAACAAAATCCCGGTTCGCAAACGCAAATGGGGCTTTAACTGCTTGCGGAGTAGAGCGATGGAAATGGTAGGGGGATAGACTCACTTGCATGATATTCAATCCGGCTGTTATGAGCAACTGTGCAGATTTCAGAGCTCTCTCTCATAGTCTTGTCCCAGATGGCTCGATAGTCTGGATCATGCAAAGTATCGTACAATACATCTGCTGATAAGTCTGAAATTTCAGCTGTAACCTGTACCGTGCATTCAAAGACTTGCACTTAAAAGATATACTTTGATCATTTTGAAATTAGACACCTCAGTGGATCGGGTATACACGCAAACATGCTTCTTTCCATGGTGCTTTTTCCATTGGCTTTGATCCACGGCCACCCATTTGAAGTATTCAAAATCTTCGTCGGTTGGAGGTCTGACCTCACCCAATACGAAGGACTTCATCATCGGCACTCAGCTTCGGATCTTATTGAGGTTCGGCTGCAATGGGAAAGAAACAAGTAGTGTAACCAACAATCGAGACCCGGATAAGGCTGTAGAGAAGTGGGCAAATAAGTCATACACCGTTTTCACATGAAATCGGACGTTTAGCAAACTACATTGGATATATTGCATGCTAATTAGAAAAGTAGCTATTTGTTAGTAAGAAATGAGGAGTGAAGCGACTGGACGATATTCAGACCACATTGTAGTCATACTAATGAAACCGAATTGTGTAACCAGCAGGCGCAAGTGCAAACCATTCACTTGGTCGTCAAGCTCGATCAAAGGCGGTGATTAAGGTTCGCACTCTCTCCCCATCGGCCTTCGCGTAGTTTATGTGACTGCGCCTTTACACATGAACCTGTGGAAATAAGTAAAGAAAGTGTATATTCCACGACGATGCCAGAAGCAGTTCTCTAGAAGGAACAGATCAAAATTTGTTACAATCTTTCATGCTAATGCATGAATAATTTTTAAAAATAAATGTGGGCGAAATTTCAAATTTAGTTAACACAAGGTACTCAAAGTTGTACTGGTGTATTTTCCAACTATTGACCCACCAGGATTCTTCACAATCACAAGAAAGATGGTCGGGCCAAGAAAAAAAGGAAAAGAAAGGAACAGCAGTCCAAAACGTTATATGTATGTGTTGTTCGTAATTTAGTCAGGCGACATCGATACCGTTCTCAAAAGCGTTATCCAGGGATTGCGATGCCTAGAGCATATTGATCGCATTTTGGATGATCAACTGTCTACTAATCTCAAGCTTAGAATTACGCAGTGTATAGCGTACTTACGCACTTTACTGTGGTTAGTTCCTGAGACAGGATGAGTCGGCTTCATGAATGTCGCGAATTGCAGCTGCTCAAGCGCGGCGGTCGGCGGCAAGCTCCAAGCAGATACTGATCCAGTGATTCCTCCAGTGACGAACACCATGCACAACATGGAGTCCCAGAAGATCGACATTCCATTTCACTGCAGTGAGCCACGTTTTCAATTGTCCACCACGGCGACGACACCAACCCTGGCAAGGCGAGGGTGAAACCACGGCCATAGTGAAGGCAGTGTCTGGTCTGCGGAGGACGTGACCGAACCACTGGAGTCTGCGGAGTTGGATAAGCGTTGTGAGCTTCGGAAGACCGTAACAGCGCTTACGGGTTTCATCATTGGTGATACGCTCATGCCACTGCGTTTTCAAGATAAGCCTTAGATATCAATGCTCGAAAAATTCCAGCTCCCGGATGTCTTCGGATCGCAGCGGCCATGTTTCGAAATCATAAAGTAAAATGACACGAATGGTTGCTGAGAATACTCGGATCTTTGTTCTCAGACTAATTTCCGTCCTTCGCCACAAGGTGCTTCTCAGTTGTAAGAAGACTGTTCTAGCGCTGTCAATACGATTCCGGATTTAGCCTGACGATTGGAGAGAATAGTGGATTCGAGATTCTTAACTCAGGAACAGATCCGATGAGTTGTTTATGTAAGGAGAACGACGGGGAGGACTGGGTAACTAACGATAAGAAGTACTTCGTCTTGATGATGTTAATTGCGAGGCCGATCACGGAGGCTGATTGGTCGATCCGATTTAACAGTGTCTGTAGTGATAAAGGATCTTCTGCAAGCATAGCGATATCGTCAGCATATTCTAGATCTGACAGCCGAAAGTCAAGGCTAATTTGAACACCACGATAGCCCTCAAGGGCATGATGCATAACCCAGTCGACTGCAAAGTTGAACAACACTGGATGAAGTGGGTAGACCTTGCAAGACTCCAATATTGATGTCGAATTCCTATGTTTCTTCTCCATAGACCCGAATCCGGGCCTTCGGGCAACGGTGGTATGATCTCCTCTAGTTAACGAGTTTAACCGGCACGCCATCGGCAAGTAGGATTCTCCAGAGTGCTTCACGGTCAACTGAGTCAAAGGCAGCACGAAAATCAACGAAGCACACTAACGTGGACTGTTGAAACTGGTAGCGGTATTCGAGTACCCGATGTAGAGTGAAGAGTTGGTCGGTGCAGCCTCTGCCTAGACGAAAGCCACCCTGGTTATGGCGAGTTCGCAGATTCCTCTCATTGGCAAAGCGGGAAAGCAAGAATTGTGCGAAGGTTTTAGCAGCCACATTGATTAGGCTAATCACGCGATAATTACTGCACACAGTTCGGGCCGTAGTACTGAGGTACTACTCCACGAGGAAGGACAGATTTCTGTTTCCCATATCAAGCAGAAGAGCTGGTGCAAATTGTCAGGGAGAGCTAGTAGACAAGATTTGTAGACTTTCGCTAGAATCCCGTCCGCTCTAGGAGCTTTCTTCGGCTTCAGGCGACGAACGGTGTCGACAATTTCTGTGGAAGATGGTGGTGAGCAATCCGCGTCATATTCTGACTGGGTTAATGCTGAAATGGGTGTGGTGGTGTGTAGTGGGCGGTTTAGGAGGTTGTTAAAATACTCTATCAATCTGAAAAGTTTTCCTCCCGTATCGGAGATCATTTGGTCATCCGAATTGCGTAATATCGGTTGTGATGAATAGCGCTTGCTGGAAACTAAACGGGCGAAACGAAAAAGATGGTCCGAATTTGATGCAGCTTCCAGGTTACCTGCGATAACGGACCAGTAGCGGTTGCGATCATTCCGTGCCGAGCGGGTTGCCCCGTGTATCAAGCAACGATAGTCTGTGGAATTCGTGAGACGTGCTTCTCCCGCTTAAGTGCACAAGCAGGGTACACTGGCAGTAATTTCTGCTTCGACTGCTGCCTCAAGGGATCGGCAGCAGTTTGTATTAAATATTTGAGTAGTGGACTAGAAAAGAAGGTTTGCTGGTACTAGTAGTAAAGTTTGGAATCATGACCTTTATCTCTGTTGAGAATCGGGTAACTGTTGCTTAAAGACATGTGAACGCCGCCATCAGAACTGTGAAGAAAACAAAAGTTCAGCTTCATTCGCCGAAGCCAGACTAGGTCACATGTAAGCTTATCACAATGCTCACTGTATGTCACTTTTGAGGAAAAACCACAATTTTTTCGTGAAGTGTAGTTGCACCCTACCAAGAGCATACTGGTCAAATACCCGTAGATACGATTGGACCAATAAGCAATATTCCATACAAAGCAATACATAGCTTTGTAAAGCCAGATGCGAAATTCCGTGGGATAAAAATGATGGTATATGTATCCGATAGTCTACATGACCTTTGAATCTTGAAAGTCACAAGGTCCAGAAAACTGAATAGCACACGTCCAAGTCGCGAACCACACTGCATTGTGAGATGCATGTGTCTTGCTGTAGTAGGTTGTCTGACGATACTCGGCATTTGTACAACAAAATACTACACTTGTCCACGATAAATGACATCTGCCACACCTGGCACCAGGACTCAAGTGCAGCTAGATCATCCTGAATGAGACGTACGGCTGCGCGTGCATTTGCACGTTCTTGCGGGTAGACAACTTTAATGTCATCAGCAAACGGAAACGTAGCACTGTCTTATGCTCTGGAACACGCAGTTAACATATATAAGAAAAAGTACACCATGAACTCTCCCTTGAATTACTCCAGTGGTGACTGCTTACTGTTTAACAATTAGATACCAAGACAGCCAAGAAAACATCGGCTCTCCAATGCTTATGGTCTTTAATTGGTTAAGTGACCTCCGATGAGGCACTCAATCAAAGGCTTTTTGCACATACAAGAACAACATTATAACACTAGTCGCGCGTGTCGTGGCACTGTTGACGCAGTCTAGCTCATAGTGGCGTTTCTTGAGCGTTATCCTTAGCCTCCTGAGGGAGTTGAAGACAATAGACACAGCTAGGTGGATCACGTTCTCTCTCAGCCGCAGCTGCAAAAATGTGTCCTCAGAATGCCGTTCAACGGTCTCTTAAACGCGTTAGAGGACATCAAAAGTCAGCTTCTCTCTGTTATTTCCTCCACATTTGCGCTGAATAAAGGTGTCTTCTCGCCTGTAGGTAATGATGATGTTTCTACCGTGCTCTGGTTGACACCAGTGATTTCAGCAGCTTCGTGGATGGTTTTTCCATCGACAAACACAAGGTTGATGCTATCTGTGCCGATGACGTTCGCTTGTACCGCCGAAGCCTTGGTGATGTGTTCTGCCATCGTTCGCAGTCCACTTTGGTTGTTTCGTGCAGCAATAGGCTAATAAAGTTAGGCTGAGTTTGGTGGGGTTATGATAGCCTGCACTGTACCAATAGTCAAGCAGCTCCATAGGTGCGCCCACACACCCACACGAACGCCCGTAGGGGGACAGCGGACAACTGGGTCATCGGCTTTGATGGAGGTGAACGACACCCATGGTCAAAAGGAAGATTTGCACAGTTTCGTTGCATTCGCGTGAGCACAATGTATCCTGAACATCTTCCAGTCGACCTACTCCCCTTCCTTTGATAACAAATTGTAGCAGTGTGCCAATAAGGCGAGACTGGGTTTGATGGAGTCATGATAGCCTGCACTGTCCCAATAGTTTAGCAGCTGCCCAGGTTCGCCCAGACACCCACACAAAATAGGCGAAGGCCCATCGAGGGACAGGGGACAACTGGGTCACCGCCTACCTGCTTCACCAGTTACGGTCCAAGTGATCGATTTGGTTTGGGATTTACTTCAATAAGGATCGCAATCCAGCCACAAAACGAGTGATTCGCAATGACTCCAAAGTTGGATAACATTTGCTTAAGTCATAATAGACCACGCGAATCGGAAGTCTGACTTTTCAATAGCCACGCAGCTACACAGGTTCATGGGTGAAGGCACAGGCACACGAACTGCGCGAACGCCGATGTAGAGAGGGGTAAACTTAGTCACCGCCCTTGAGCAAGGTGATCGAGGTTCAGGATCAAGAGAAGGGTATGTAGTGGTACCCGCTGGTTACACAATTCGGCTGCACTAGCATGACTACAATGTGGTCTGAACATCGTCCAGTCGGCTAACCCCTCATTTCTTGCTGACAGATTGCTGATTCTCTGTTCAGAATGCTTCCAGTCCTC